GTATACTCTTGGAAGTCAAGCTTCCTCTGTGCAAGGTGCCGTGTGACCCGTCACAGACAATCCGTGTTCGTCTGACATATCTTGAAGATACGTTATACGTCGCATTAGATGCGAAGAGCAAGCTCAATACCGCACGAGCCAGCTAGAGTACGAAAGGCGGGAGTTTTACGAGCACACCGGCTCTGATAAAAAGTCGTAAAGCGAGGAAGACGAGGATGATCTGCTAGCTGATGAACAGCACACTGTTGCACTCAGATTGAAACATATCTGTGAGCGTCACACATATAAACGTTCCATACCCACTTCCCCCGACTAAGTCGTACGAAGCCTAGATCTCCCAAGCAAGTAGTTCGACGAGAAATTCAACTTAAATCCAGTCGGCCGCCCTGCTTAGGCAACGAACAATTGTTTCGCGCCCTAAAGAGAGTATTTGATGCCTCTCGATGCTGTGTACTCATTTTTGAAACTTGAACGTAGAACGTAATCGCATGACGCTTTTAATCAATCAGAATTTCTGTGGATCCAAAATACGCGGAACGTCAACGATAACATATAATAACCTGAGCTGTCAGCCCCGCCTCTGTGTGAAAGATCGGATAATACACGCCGATGTCCATGCATCGAGCGACGGAACCATGTCGCAGAATCTTTGAGCTTTTTGTGAAATCAGCGGACTTTTACAGCAATTTGCACTGTTTATCCGGATATTGTGTTAGTCTCATACTAGGTACGGCAAAGCTTGAACGTCATGAGCCATACTTGACTGAAGGTCTCTAGTAGTGGAGTTTTGCTGAGACATGAACCCACCAATTTAAAATCGGAAAGCGCATTTGGCATCAGCATAAAACTGTGATAGCATCGGTATAGAACACACAATATTTTAAGAACCTGGCAACGACATTGGTTGGTGGGTGGTAGCGAGCCGTTTTCTTGACATGAGGTTGGAAGTGGCTGGCAATGTATTATGAAAAAAATAATCACAGTGTGACAGCCCCCCCACCGAGGCTAGCTTGGACATGATGGATGAAGTAGCTTCAGGTTTTGATTCGGTTGGAACGCGTCAGAGCATTTAGTGCCCCACTCCCAAACGCAAGGTTTGATGTAGACAGTAGACCACAAGTTATAAATAGAGCGGTTAGATTCCTGGATTTTTAATGTTCTCTCATTCCTGTCATGGTATCACTATACCACGGACCGTATGACCCGCCCATCGTGCAGAAATGAAAGTATCGCGAGGTTCTCAAAACAAGTTTGTTTTCTACTGTGGCGACTGCAATAATTATTTCTCAAGTATGTGGGTCTTCTCTCTGTAAAAGGATTTTCTCAGTTAATGTGTGCACGAGTTAGGAAGATCGTGAGATCACCGAATCTTCCTTGTTGGCGCCAAGTTTTTTCATTAAGCAAATTCCAACGGGCATGAACGCGCCGTCGGTTTCATAGGGTTGCCAATTAAGGCCGTCCCAGAAGAACTCTCGAGTTCCTGACAAAAAGCTACTTGCTAAAATTATGCTGTTGTCAAATTTAGGGTACACCTACTAAGCTTGGAGCCATTTGTGATCCACTCCGATCATGCCTGTTCCGCACAGTAATAGCCTCTTCGCACATCACACATCTTGCAGCGATTGGCAAAATCAGAATTTTTATGTATAACTTCATGGAAAAGTATGAAGGCATTTGTTGCGGTAGCGAATGCGCTTTCGCGTTTGGACTATAAATGCTGCATATACGATAATTGAGGTTGTATATTGACGGGATAGAAGGTACAAGGTACAAGTCCGATGTAGCTTGGGCTGTGCTTTTGATATCTGAGAAGCAAGGCGGCTTAGAGTTCGCATGTCGCTTTATCAAATCGTTAGGGTGCGGGTTCGCACCACTATTCTTTGTCTTAAGTCTTGCTGTATCCAGCACTGACTCAGCGAGCAGTTCACCTCACGAGAGCATTAAATGCAGAGGACAGTATAGATCGCCTTGTTGAGAAAAGATATACGGCTCTGTAGAGATGATCCTGAGATGTATACATGGTTATGCAGTTATGTTCACGCTTGTAAAGCGAGTAAGCAAATAAATACTCGCCGGAAGCGCCACGTTTCTTTGGCTAGCTTGCCAGTCTCGGATAAATATAAGCTCCATCGTTGTGACCAACATGTGACCTTTCGAGAAAAAAGTCTGGTATTGTGGGCTCTGTGGGTCATTTAAACAATTTGGCTGATCTTGTTGTTACTGCTAACACTTTGCCAAAACTGGTAACCAAGGCAAAGTCGCCGGTACATACGATGAGAATAGAGATCTTCGACACAGTTTACGCGTGTGCACATCTGTATTCACTAATTTTCACATTCTTGTCTACCAGAATAGAGGATGTACGGAGTCATGCGCATATTTCCAACCGAGGTGGCTACCATAAGGCATATGATGCACCTCGCACAATATTCTGTAATCCAGATCCTCGTCATGAGTTACAAACATTAATTTCAAGTTAGTGAGTTGAACTACGTGCATTCTGAAGCATTCAACAGTGCAGCTGATGCTGCATCAGACCTGTATGCTGGACCTATCGTAGCGTTAATGCACAACGTCACCATTTGTAGATGCGACAGCTAATACTTTGAGCAACGAGAAATCGCATCGCCAGGATATATCACCTTCTACGATTTACTCGGCATGTTAACTTTCAACTCGTCAATCTCTGCGAGAGATGCAGTGGTGGCGTTTCTGTGCAAGTAACTCACGAATGGCTACAATCAAGCGTAAGTACTGTTAACGTGACATGAGCATATATTATAGCAAATACCTCTTTTGACATTTATTTAGTAGCTCCACCCTGAATCTTTAAGCTGACGAGACTCAAACGCAATGTCGTATTCCTGCTCCTTGTATATGCTTGGTGTTAGCATGCCCCATAGCAAAAGCCAGAGCGTTATAGACGACATGAGCTGGCTAATCCAAATTTTGAAGAAAAAAGTCGGGGTGCTTACGAAGCAATCTTCCAAAGCCTTAGCAAACGGTATTTAATGCCGCACACAAATATCATATGGTATTAAAAACAATTGGTGATGTATCATGCGATATGGCATAATTTGTACTATACTTGTGCATGAATATGGCCAACCATGTTCCTCAAGTTATGATGTGTAACAAAACTATTTACTACAGCTAATCTATTTTCAGGTAAGATTGCGGATCACACCGTCCAATGAAGCATAAAAATCTGGATATCCATCCTCGCCAAGGAAACAGCTGACTATACGGGGTAGCAGCGTGTACAACCGCCTAGATATGAGCGCTGTAACTCATTGTGGTTCTGGTGTAGCCGAAACACCTGCACCACTTAAAACCGAATGCCACTGGTGTTTTAAACAATACCTAGGGTTTTCAGGTCATGTCGCTCATAATACTCAAGTAGGGAGAGGTAGATCAATATCTTTCATGAAAAGACGCTATCATGCACGCAAGGGCACTAAACGAAAAGCAATCGATCATGCTTCTCTGCAGCACACTTTATCTGTTGAAATGTGTGTCGAAATTGTGGCTGTATTGAGCTGAATTTAAACTAAGACAATTTGCCACTTCCCGCTGACTATTTCTGGCGCAGGATGTCGTGTGAGTTTTTTCCTCACAGAACGAGTTTCGTGTTCTTTGTGGATAGAAACGTCAATGACGTTACACTGTTTTTTTCTTGGTTCAAGAACCATTGACCTCCGGCGAAATATTTGGTTTCGGGAACCAAGTCAATTTCATGACGCATTTTCTGAATTGTGGTAACACGCATGGAGGGCCTCTTGTCATTACGTCGCCTAGTTCATTGACAAAGCAATAGGTGGTCTGTGAGTATCCGTAATGACAGACTCATCCAAGATTGATAGAATGCTCTGCTCATCCTCTGGATTTCATTCTTATATTTCAGCAACATCACCTTTTAAAAATAAATACTTCAATCGAATATTGCAGCTAGTGAGGGAGGTTACAACCCCATAAGACAGCCACAATAACTCTATTTACGAGATAATAACCACTGTCTTCACTCACAATTCCAAACGGCAGGCACATCACACAGTACGGCTTGGAACACTACCGTTACATCTTCAAAATGGAAAATCATTTGTCTCATCTTTAGGCTTTGGCCCTCTGCTTGCAACTTGAAGGTGCTTTTGAAGTCCGCTCGCTTCAACACAAGGGATGGAGAAACTCCGTCGATCTCACTATTCACCGCCTCTACCTAAGGAGACCCCAGCTTACAGCCGTAACTGAGAACCACACCATTGACAAACGATGATGATTGTCACGAAACATCGGTAATGTAAGTAAAAATGTGCTTTGGAGTCCTCGATTTCTGATCATTACTAAGTATCTTACTTAATGATTGCGGCTCATTGAGGCATGTACCCTTCGAGCATGCTCAACGCACTTTGCATTTTTTATTTGTTTATTACAATGACACCGTGTCCTTTGCAAATCTATCAAAATTGAATGCTCACATCAGAGGCTTTCTTAATTCTAGCAGGTTGGATTCAAGCCCCACTCAGGGAGAAGCACGTGTCACCTAACTTTTTCTCATCCGATTGACCCATATATCACGGCTGTCAAATGACATCATATATGTGATAGGATTATATAGTGAAATCATTTTCGCGAAGGCATCGTTCTCTCTTTAAATTCTCATTTTTTTGATGATGCATCAAAACCTACGCAGCATTTACATGTGTCTCCATCGCAAGATGAGCTGATAGTATATATCTAGCATCTAAAATGCCTTTACCTGCTGTGGGCTTTTGTTGACGGTGCGTGACGTATCTAATTACACGATGCTGGGGGTCTGCCAAGATTCTTACGGGCTTACAAGGCCCTGGAGTTAATGTTAACGGTCAGCAACCAGAGCTGTAAGGTCAATGTCTCGAAAAAATTGTCGCTTCATTTTGAGCTGGTTTCCATCGTCATCGGCTCCCGCAAAGAAGCTTCAGCTCTGTACCAGTAAGATGACCTGTTTATAGCAAACCATAGAGTGTTTCGAGTGCATTTTGGTCGATCTTGTGTGGAAATTCAATGGTTCATATCTCAGCTGAAAGAGAAGAGACCCAAAGAGCAGAAAAAATGTTACTGCCACATATGTAACATTTGCAAATACCACTGTACAGCTCGTAACTTGGAGAAAGCTGTATCCGTATGTCATTGCCTATGGCGCGCTCGTAAGCTGCAACCCTACCAGCTCACGCGGCTAGAAGCAGATCGATGCAAATCCCATCACACCCATAAGAGCAGTTAGACTCTCAATTCATTCTGCGCCATATTGAAGACCTTCCTTGAAGTTGGTATTTGTAATTGCTACCGTATCCAGAAGAGTACCTGCCTCCATAGGAGTGATGAGATCTATCATTTGAGCAAAGCTCGTTACTTCTTGCGTTCTTATATCGATACATAGACATTTCTATTGCAAACGATGCACCTGGTTGATTTAATTAAACTTTCGCGATAATTTGTTCCTTAACACTTCTAATATTGAGAATGCCGACGGTCTCGCGCGTTAGTGAAAATTTACATTTGCGACCTTCTCACTGATAGACCAATGGAATGATGCGCTTATGCTTCGTCTGACGCAAATCAGTTTTCTTACGATCCTAAC